GGGTGACAGCCTGTTTTGTTTCACTGTCCGATTGGTTACCACTATTGAAGGAGGACCTGCATATTCAACACATGTCTGCAGTCACCTTTACTTAAACACCTGCGCTTGTGATCTTTTTTTTTTCCTATTTAGTTCGGCTTCTGAGTCTTCTTACTTCTTGTGCAGATAGAGAGTATTCGCCAGGTCTGATATCACCTATGAAGAGATGCTTGCGTCAACCATTGAGACTATGGAGCCTAGATGTTGCAGGGCCATAACTACTAGCCTACCAAGCAAGAACTTAATAAATAGGTCCTCTAGTCAACAGCAACACACTGGTTGAGTCCCACAGAAGTCCAGACCGATGTCATCGTGAGTCCAGTGCTTGGATCTTGTGGCATTTCCTAGTGACTCGATTCCCACATCAAAAACCTGCCAAAGTCCACTTCACCAAACTGTAGGTGCATTTGAATCATAGGGTTGACCACACTGTCAATTCTAAGGTCTCGGAACAAGCTAGAAAACTCTTTTTTAAAGCGGGTCACAGGGTGTGAATCCCAATTCCTCTGACATTGAGGATGAATGTACAGAGACTCCGCTCAGTGAACTCTATCTACGAGCACGATTTAAGATGCCGCACAGCTAGTAGCGTTTCGATTTAACTCCGAGAATCTGTGGCCATTCTATCGGTTACTTCTGACATTCTCTGACGGAACCCAATGGGTCTTGCTAGACTTCAGAAGTTGTTCGCTTTTTGTGCCGGAACTCTGTCAGGTTTTGCGGCCATTTTGGTATGCCTGCCTCAATGGACGTGCTTATGAATAAGAAGTTGAGAGGACGAATTGGCGGTCTATGGGCCTTCATTCCTTTGCAGTACCTTACGCAATACCCAAATCTAGCGTGTTCACAACTCTGGAATCTTATTAGGTGAATGTATTACGTAGAACTTCAGATTTATGTAAGTAGCCTATATTCGACGGGCTTCCTCCGGATCCTTTTGTGAACCGTCTGAATGGGAGTGGGCTATAGCTCTTATGCTGTATCCGCTATACAAGCCAGTGCTCCCAATCAGGATCAAAGAAATCCAGTCTAATTTTGGTCGCTCATAACCTTGAAAATCAATCACTAATTATTATATATAAAATACTAAAAATAAATGCATAGCTCTAGATATATATATATATATATTTAAAAAAAATCAATCACTAATTATTATATATAAAATACTAAAAATAAATGCATAGCTCTAGATATATATATATATATATTTAAAAAAAATCAATCACTAATTATTATATATAAAATACTAAAAATAAATGCATAGCTCTAGATATATATATATATATATTTAAAAAAAATCAATCACTAATTATTATATATAAAATACTAAAAATAAATGCATAGCTCTAGATATATATATATATATATTTAAAAAAAATCAATCACTAATTATTATATATAAAATACTAAAAATAAATGCATAGCTCTAGATATATATATATATATATTTAAAAAAAATCAATCACTAATTATTATATATAAAATACTAAAAATAAATGCATAGCTCTAGATATATATATATATATATTTAAAAAAAATCAATCACTAATTATTATATATAAAATACTAAAAATAAATGCATAGCTCTAGATATATATATATATATATTTAAAAAAAATCAATCACTAATTATTATATATAAAATACTAAAAATAAATGCATAGCTCTAGATATATATATATATATATTTAAAAAAAATCAATCACTAATTATTATATATAAAATACTAAAAATAAATGCATAGCTCTAGATAGATATATATATATATATATATATTTTAAAAAAATCAATCACTAATTATTATATAAAAATACTAAAAATAAATGCATAGCTCTAGATAGATATATATATATATATATATATTTTAAAAAAATCAATCACTAATTATTATATAAAAATACTAAAAATAAATGCATAGCTCTAGATAGATATATATATATATATATATATTTTAAAAAAATCAATCACTAATTATTATATAAAAATACTAAAAATAAATGCATAGCTTTAAATATATCACATAAATTTTGTAAGTTTTACAAAATTTAAAATCTGAAAATCATTGTAAAAATAAAATTAATAATAAAAAAAATTTTGCTAGACACGGGTGTCTTCCCAGGAAGCTGCACACAAAAAAAAAAAAAAACAAATGTTATATTATATTATATAATTTATATACCTTCCCAAGGTATATCTTCCCCCAGGAAGCTACAAACAAAAATAAAATAAAAAAACAAAATAAAGGGGCAGCACTTCGGAGGAGATGAATTCGGTCCAGGAAGTTGAGCAAACAAAACAAAATAAAAAAAGATCAGAGGAGATGAACCTGTAGAAGCAGCACTTCGGTGAAGACGTAAACAGATCAAAGTTTTGTGTTGAAGAACAAAGGGGCAGCCGGAGAGTCACAGAACAGAGGCAGGGTCATCTCCTCCCTCTTCTCTCTTCTCTCTCTCTATTTCTCACTCATATCATCCGTATTTCAGAGCTGAAAATTTGTAGATGGATACACCTCACCTCGAAGTGGTTCATGTGCTATAAAGCAAAGCATTTGAACCAGTGATTGAGCCTCTGAATAATAAAGGTATGTACCACATCTTCTGTTTTTTTGTTTTTTTCTTTTGTTTGAACCAACATTTGCACTATCCGTATTTCTTTTGTTTTTTTTTTGAAAATAATCAGCGAAAAAAGCCCTGTAACGGGTGTAATGGGCCGTTACGGCCGTTACACCACCGTTACGACCGCTACGTCGACTGTAACGACCGATACACCTGTGAATTTCAATCACACCGCAAAATCGGGGGTAACGCGTGGTGCCTACCACCGAAACCGTTACGTAACGGCCGAAACCGTTACGTAACACCGCATTTTTAAACCTTGATCCTTACGGAAAAGGGGTGGCCATAGTGTTCGGGAGTTCATCTATTCATCCTCCGTTAGAGGTCACTACACTCGTGTTGGAGATTGCATGGCTAAAAGGATGTTTTCCTTTCGGGGTTTACCTTGGCTGAGGCCCGGGTAGTGCAAAATATCTTAGCTATTAATGAGGGCTTGTATGTTAGTGCCCAATCTATATACCTCATGAACAAGCTACAACATATGCCAGGAATGGGATTAGGAAGGAGCGACCGGAAGGGCGTCACTGCATTGGTCGATGTGCCACATAACCCGCATACCTTTGGTCTTGGCAATACGCCTACCAAAGAGGATTGGGTGAGGAAAAGAAAAGAAATGGCAAGGGCCGAAGCTAAACAAATCGACAAAACGCTATGAGCTTGTGCACCGACCAATGTGGAGAACCCTGAATGGTCAGTTTGTTCGGGAGGGTGAAAACTTCCCATTCTGTGGTTTCCTGAACCCTGGTTCAACTCTGAGAAGCAACGGGTTCTTGGCTTTGAGATTTTTTTCGACTTGCAGCTACAAGACAGTGATACAGAGGAAAGGGGTGAGCCGATTATTGCTAAAGCTGAACAAAGCACATAAAGTGAGTCCAACAACAGCGATCTTGAAATAAGAGCAGCACTGGCATGTCTCCTTTCGAATCCTCTGATCGACTCAGAGAGCTTGGGGGATAACCTTGCTGTTTCTATGATCGGGGACTAACCGGGTGCGAACGCTTCTAGCAACATCTTGGATGCATCTGACGCACTGTCCCTCATTTGGCAACTGGAGGAGGGTTACTTATCCAACAGTTCTCAGTTGGGTAGTGAGCCAGAATCTAATTCCACAGAGTCTGTGGAGTAGGAATCAGATTCCGGTTCCTCTGAGTCTAGGTCCGGTATTCCTGGGAGTGATAACTCGGATGCCGAGGTCTTGTCCAGGTCGTCTTTTTCCTTTTATTTTGAGTCGGTTATAACTGAGGAATTAGATGAGCTTGACCTTGTGAATGAGAATGCTGCTGTAGATTTTGAGTATTTCTCTATGCCTTTTGTTTATTGCATTGATCATGATTTTCAAAATTTTGATGAAAATGATGAGGAAGAAATTCCTCTGGTTTTGAAACATTTGATTAATCGAGAAGATGAGAGGTTTGTAAAACCCCTTGTTGATGAAATCATTGCAATTAATGTGGGTACTGAGAAGGATCCGCGTGTGGTCCAGATTGGGTCCACGTTGTCTTCGAAGGAGCGCGAGCGCTTAGTCGCTTTATTAAAAGATTTCAAAGATGTTTTCACGTGGTCCTACGAAGACATGTCTGGAATCGATCCTGAGATTGTACAGCATCGGATCCCTTTTGACCCCGAGGCCCAACCCTTCAAAGAGAAGTTGCGGAGAATATGCCTGGATTGGACTTTGAAGATTAAGGAAGAGGTCACCAAGAAGATAGATATAGGGTTCTTGCTAGTATTTGAGTATCCAACTTGGTTGGCCAACATTGTTCCAGTGCCGAAGAAAGATGGCAGAATTCGGGTGTGTGTGGATTTCAGAGTTCTGAACAGAGCTAGTCCGAAGGACGACTTTCCTCTACCATACCTACGACCACCACGTCCACATCCTGACATCCTAATGAAAGTAACAACAGAGATTAGCACATTTACAAATGTGCCGAAGCTAACTCACTCACGTCCTAATATGATGGACAACCGTAATTCACTCTATATAAGCACGTAATCACATAAACACATACGAATTTCCTTCTTAGATAATGACCGTCCCGCAGCATTGCCAGAGTTCCAGTTAGAAACAGCAATGATCAAGTGCTCTTCTAATAGGACTTCTAAAAACCCGTAGACCCTATCAATATCTTAGGAACTAAATCTCATATCCATATAATCATATAAACAAGTTATCACATAAGTATACAATACATGCTAACGTCTCAACTACGCGAGACAAACCCATTGTGGAAATGACCACTTCCCACGTATCCAAAGTATTTCAAACCCAGTACGCTCTGATACCAAGTTATCATGCCCCGAAATAAATGCCATAGATTGGATCCCAGTAACATATACTTAGCGATATAAACAAAATAGTAATCTTTCATTCATCAGAGTTGATATACAAAAGGTGATACATGCATTACACATTCATGAATGATTCATCCTGAATCTATAGCATGTATTACAAGTAAGAATAAGAAATAAGAGTTATACAGATATTCATATGCCCTAAAGGCTTACATATTTCCAAGTCAATGCTTGGTTACAACAAAATGAGTCTAACTCAATACAATTAAACCTTTAGCTATACAAAATAAATGCAATCAAAAGAAGCTCTTACTTCAAGTCTCCCCAAACTACTATCTTGGCGGAGGCATATCTCCAACACCTGAAAATGGTTTCCCAAGTAGGGTGAACCAAAGCCCAGCAAAAATAATCTAACACAATATATGAGTATTAACAAAGATATAAGTATGATGCACAGGCTCAATGCCCATATGACAATTCTTTTGCAAACCATGTCGTGCCAAGTTTTATATCACAATTCATGTTATCTTAATCCCCTTTTTAATTCAATTCATTTTATCTCAATTCATGACTTATCTCCATTCATTACGAACAACCAAACTGAGGATACAACTCAAAGATTCTCAAATCAATCCAGTCACCACACAAACACTTCCATTTGCCATTTTACGAAAATTTCATCTGCGGGAATTGGCACCCATGTATACAAACAGTTTTTGGGACTTTCACCCTAGACACACAAGCCAACTTAGTTTAATGGAGTCCATCTCCTTTCTTCTCCCAAAACATGGAGTACATCCCATTTCTCCTCCCAAACATCATACATATACAATGTATATAAATCATAATCATATTCAATAATAATGGCTAAGGGATTAGTTTCAATTTGCCTAATTCACATGCAATGTCTACAACAATCATAGCTATCCTCCATCGATAGCCCAAAACAGATATTTCTGAATAGATATACAATCTCAAGAAAGATAAATTATCCAAATTTTCATAGGTAAGAGGTGATAGACATATAACTCCACCATTTATTTCGACATACATCCAATTTCATAATCTCAATAGCAATTTCATTATTTATACAAAATAATTATTCAAGACATTTTAGGACAAAACTCCCTTCTTCCCAATCTCATCCCAACACCCAAAATCAACCATTCTAACATAACACAAGCTCATATCTACTCCCATGACCATTTCCAATACGTTCATTTGAAAACCCCTCCTTTGATTTTAACCAAAAATCCTAGGTTTGTTCAAAATCACAAGTCTCAATATTTCTTACCCATTAACAAATAACTAAGTTAAAACCCATAGAAAAGTGTAGAAAGTCCCTACCTCAAAGATGGAAGACGAGCACAGCAAGGGAGAACTTCAAGGGCACCGAAATCCACTTTTGTTCTGATGAAAAGAAAGCGCACAACGTGCTCTACCTTTTTCTCAAAGGCACTAGGGCGATGAACCCAATGGATCTAGGTGAAATAGTAAAGAGAAGATGAGTTTTAGAGAGAAAAACTCAAGATCTAAGGTTTTGGAGAGTTTTAGAGAGAAAGATGAAAAAGTGATATAAAATGAAGCTGTTACGAACTGATATAAGCGCAGTCCGCTTGAGCGCAAGAGTTGATGCTCAAGCGTCAGACACAATAAATTGTTCTGCTCGAGCACAAGAAGTGACGCTCGAGCGCAGAATACACATCCAGTAGTTTTGCAGACGACAGACCAACGATTGAGCGCAAGAATGGCCGCTCGATCTCCCACTCGCTCGAGCGTAGAAAATGCTGCTCGAGTGTAGAAAACACTCTTCTAGTAGTTTTGCAGACCTACAAAAGTACTGAGAGTTCGCAATGCCCGCTCGAGCGTAGGAAGTGCCGCTTGAGCGGAGGACCAAAAATTCTAAGCAACATAAGGTTTGAAAAACAAGTGACTAACATGTCCAAACACAACCACAACAATCCAAAAGCCAAATTCAAGTAGACACAAGGAAAGCAAGAGGTAAACAACCATATGAAAGCATTAAACCCGAATTCGAGATATAACAAGAATCGGGTCAAAAACTAGGATTGCTATAGCTGTGCTGCTAGGAAAGCTAGGGTTGATTAAAATTATAAACACAAACTTTAGGGTTTACCTTCCCTAATATATATAACCGACTGCCCAACTTAATTATTATTATTATTATTATTATTAACCTTTAATATTATGTATTCATAATTAATTAAAATACCCTCTAACAATATTTAATTTGTATTTTAAGATTCACCATCAAAATATTTGAGATTGTAAAATTATTAATATTATTATTTATTTATTTTTTCCGGGTTCTCACAATGTCTTATCACCTGGAAATGATACACAACTAAGTCAGCTGATTACTCAGTGAGTAGCGACAAAACATAGTTCAATTCAAAATAAGATGTATATCACAAAAACTAGATTGGCATACTGTTTTGATAAAGATAATCTGTTTCAAAAAGAATGTTCTACAATTCAACAGTTGAAAATACTCATGTCTCTTAATAACATAACAAATGGCATTCTTCACTTAAAACATATACAACATGATCATCAATAACTTCGGTACCAAGAATAACAGGTAACATGTCACAAAATTCTCAAGGCAATAAGCCCATTCGATTCAATATCGAACCAAGAGTCATCCTTGGGGTGGCAACCTGAGCCTTTTCTCTAAGACGATCCGATTGAAGGTCACCTAGCCTAGTTCAGGTCTTTTCCTTACCATCGTTAAGCACTAGAGTCATCACAGCTCAACTCGAATCTATTCCCTAGTGGCCAGAGTAACCACACACATGGAATAATTTCCTTGAACTTTTATATACAACTGGTCCCAATAATCAATACAATTCAGTTTCGCAAAACATAGTAATTCAATATTATAAACATGAAACCATAACAAATAGTTTACAATATGCTAAGTTTACACATATTTCAGAAATAATTTAATTTCATTAATAATATAATAATTTATCAAAACAGTTTAGTCCTGAAACAACAATCTAATTTTCCAACAACTCAGGGTCGAAGAACATTTATAAAAAATATGTAGCATGCAATTACTCACCTAAACACGGTATAATATAATCCTCAAACCGAATAGAAAAGTCCAACTAGTGCCTTGAACCAAGTATGAAAACTACACATCACTACTAATTCCAAAATACTAAAAAGAATAATAAATTAGTAACCTCAAGCTAACGCGCACTAACACGACTCAACCCAACTCACCGTTACTCTTAAATAATACCTAATTTCATGTTCTTCAAGGTCCAAAATTAACCCAAATATGGGTTCCGTTGAAACTTAATTAAATGTAACTTTGAGATAAAACATAATTTTAAACAAGTTTTCCCAATCCATACGCTAAATTTGAAAATTAAAAACCCACTCCACGCTATTCAAAAACTTCCAAAACCCTCCAAATATCAACTAATATATCCTAAGTTTCAAACTTAATTGGTTTAACTTGATTTATTTACAATTAATTATATCCAAACAGGTCGCTTTCTGCAGCACTTAAAAGAAATTGACGATTCTCTTAGTATAGCCGAGCAATCAATGCAAGGAAAAAAATTTAAGAAACTAGACTCGTAACCAGTTCTAATGACACTAATTTGATAATTTTTGAATTTATACCCATAGAGAACAACACTTCCGAAATTAGTGTTGCGTACTAGTTTTCTGCACAGATTTGAATGCATCAGTTTATATGGATTTTGACACCCAAAAATTATAAAAAAAATTCTGGTATGTGACTCAATATGTAATTAATCTACTATAAAAATTTCAATTCAAAATTCATCTGTTTGATATGATTCCTCGATTTTTAAAGTTTGTGTTTGCATGTAGAATTTTTGGACTAAGAATTACACCCATTCTTTACTCACAATTTATCTCCTCAGATTTCTTAAAGCTATATATATTCAAAATACATACACCTACAACCTCTCCATCAATGAATTAAATAATAATAGAATAAGGATAAAGGACAAAGAAAGAAGAGAAGAAAACCTAGGTCGGCTATCCTTTGATGATCACACATAGCACAACACACCCAATTCCTTCCTTAGTTGCAACCTTGTGTTTCTCTTATCTTCTCACGGTTGCCGCTGCTGGGGAAATTGTTAGAAGAGCTAGGGTTTTTTCTTTTCTTTTCTTTTCTTTTCTTTGTTATACATAACATAAAAGACCCTAAATAATTATCCTTTGTTTTGTTTTGTTTTCTCTCTCCGTTAATTTAAATAAAATACAACTATTATTAAATCAAAATATACTTACTAATTTGTCCCCTTTCCCTTTTATAATAAATCTTGCCTTTAAATTTAAAACTTTCACCATAAATTTATTTTAGGTTTAAAATTAATCAAAAGACCCTCCAAATATTTAATTCACACTTTAGGATTTACCATCAAAATATTTGAGATTGTAAAATTATTATGACTTTTATTATTTATTTATTTATCGGGTTCTCACAGCATTCCCAAGTTGCCTCTTCAACTAGATGATTACGCCACAGTACCTTAACCAATTTAATGGCCTTTGTACTTAACATTTTCTCTTTCGAATCTAAGATCTAAACAAGCATCTCCTCATACGAAAAATCCTCTCTAATCTAAAACGACCTAGAAGATCAAGCTCATTCAACAAAGAATCAAAACCACTCAAAGTCAACAAAAGAGTTATACTGACCAAAGAAGAAGAGAGTTAGAGTTCGAAGTTGGGGATCATGTATTCTTGAAAGTTTCGCCGATGAAAGGAGTTTCAAGGTTTGGAAAGAAAGGTAAGTTAGCGCCTCATTACATCGGGCTATTCGAGATTCTTGAGAGAGTTAACCACATTGTCTATCGACTTGCTTTGCCACCAGAATTAAGTCAAGTCTACAATGTGTTTCATGTATCGATGTTGAGGAAGTATCTTCGTGATCCAATGCATATGATTGATCATTTCGGGATTATGGTTAATGAAGATTTAGGCTACGAGGAAAAGCTAACACGAATTCCTGATAGGCAAGTGAAACAGTTGAGGAATAAGTCGATACCGATGGTGAAAATTGAATGGAAGGAGCATTATGGCAAGGATGCTACATGGGAAATGGAAGAAGATATGAAAATCCGTTATCCGGAGTCGTTTTTGGGGCAAGGTAACTTAAGTTTGGGGACCAAACTTCTTTAAGGAGGGTAGACTATAACAACCCTCATTCATGCTCATATGCATTTACACAATTTTTCATTGTTTAGCTTACATATGCAGACTTTGATTTGTTTTGCCTAAGTAAAGGTTCCTGTCTAGTTTTGTGCTATCATGTTTTGCCTAAGTGTTACATGCATGCTTTGTTCC